TATCCGGCCAGCCTGGCTGCGTCCGTTATTGTGCTGGCTTCAAGACACCGGCTGCCAATAACGGCCACCTTGAAGAAGGAACCGTTAATTGGACCAAACAGAAGCTGCTGTCCATTGATCCGGAGCAAATGATGTTTAGCTACTCAATTGTGGATAGCAATGTGGGTTTCCATGGGTACGTGTCGACGGTAACCGTGGTACCGGAGGAAGTTGGCTGTAGGATCGAGTGGAGTTATGAGGTTGAGCCTGTGGAGGGATGGAAGCTTGAGGATTTAGATGGGTTCATCGGATCGGGTTTGGAAGTCATGGCTAGGAGAATGGAAGCAGCTCTCCAAGCTCTAATTAATCATCATTATAATAAAGGGATTGCCCAAATGGCATTTATGTCATTAGCAAAAAAAATAAAAAAGGTATTTTAAAGAGTGTCATGTATAATGATTTAGAATTTAAACCTTTATATTAAAAGTTTCAAATTTAAATCTTATAATATATCACTTTGAAAATATATGGACTATATATGTACATCACATTTGTTCTCTTTAAATATCTTCTATTGTTTCATCCTCATCTAATATATATCATGAAATTGATTTAGGGGATTTTTTTTTTTTTCAGTTACAAGTTAATATAACTTTAGGGAAAAAAACTATTAAATGAAACTATTAAATAGTTTGAAATTGTTAGCTTGAGCTTAGACTTCTTGAACTCATAGCCATAACCTTTGTTTGAGAGTGTTGAATACATCGCTTTTTCTCACAACACACAGACTAAAAATGTTAATTTATCATAAATAATTAATTTTAATTAATATTTATATATTTTTAGAGTAAAACAGTACTAAAACCTAAAACAATACTACAACACAATACTCTCCGACAAAATCATGGTAGTCATAGTGACGAAGCTTGAGTAAAATATTAGGGGAGGCCCAAAAAAATTTCAAAGGTGTAAGTTTTAAAAAAATAAAATTTGAGAGATCATATGGTAAAAAAAAAAAACCCAAAAATAGAATAAATTTTGTAATTTTGTAAGTTTTTTGATACAGGGTAATCTCAAACAAAACTTTAATTATGCTTGCATTATGGTAAGCTTTTCAAAAAAGTACGCATTTCCACAAATAATGAGATATAAGTTTACGATCTTCAAAAAAGATATAACGATCTTCAAAAAAGATATAAGCTTATGGAGTTATGGGTGTGATTGTCACCATACAAAATTTTGTGTGGCCTTGATGGTAAAGAAGTGAATCTCGTACCGTACTGGTTGATAAGATTGGTACGTACCAATTTTTTATGTTGATCGAAATGGTATAGGGTGAAAATTCATTTTGGTCAAAATTTGATTGATTCGGTCAAAATTCAATGTACCGAGCGAAATTTCAATGTATTGACCAATTCATTAGAATTTCGATCGATACACATTGAAAAATTATTAAAAAAAAAAAAAATTAAATTAGGTGAGGAAAGATAAGAAGGACAGAGTCTACTTAATTTATGGGGAATCAATTTTGGTATAGTACCGGCCGGTTCACCGAAATTTCGGCCGGTACACACTGCAAAAAAAAAAAAAAAAAGATTCCCTAGCCCAAAACGACATTGTTTTGGGTTAAGGGCTTCTTAATACCATGCAACTGCAATTTCAAATACCGGTACGTAGAAATTGTCCGTATAACTCAATTCAAATTTAAAAAGAGTAAATTTTATTTTTGGTCCTCAATTTTAATGTTATGTATAATTTTCATCTTTTAACATTTTTATGTACTTTTTTAGCCCATTTTTCATTTTTTTTAGTCTTTCTATCAATTATTTTGTTAAATTT